CTATACTTATGCCAATGTACTCACTCAGTACAAATAGCAAAATAGTATACCATTTCCTAAATACAAAATATAGCTTTCCAAAAAAATGAAACACACATTAGATATAAACCATCCAAAACTTGAACGATTGAAAACTGTATTCAAAATTAAATGACCCAGAGTAGGTCTCTTTCTGAAAAGTTCCCTTCATATCGGCAAGAAGCCTGTACTACTGAAAACGTAATTCAATGTCTCTCAATCAGAGAGAGAAAGGGAAGAAAGGGTTGGGGAGGAGGAAAGACTATATTAGAATAAAAATAAAAAAAACAAATTAGAAGAAGAGTACAAAGAACCAAGGAAGGCCATCACAAAAAGGGGGAAAAAATCTGGCTGTATAAACAAAACCAACACCACAATTTCATACAGTTCAACTAAACAGAAAAAACAAACAGAAAAGTAGCCTTTAACAAACAATTAACAGGCTATTTTCTATACACTTAAAAAAAATTAAACTGACAAGGATACCAAAAACATTTTATCAACATATAGAAGCCACACACTATTTGGCCTTAAACTGTATTAACAGCTTTCTACATGCCAAAAGGAAAAGAAGAAATAAGCACATGTCCAGACAACAGGTAGTAGTGAGAAGCAGGCATCCCATGGGTGGCAAGAACACCCAAAACTGTGTAACTAATGCTACAACTGCAAGTTCTGGAGTGTGTTAGTTTGCTCTTTATAGATGTAACAAAAGTTAACTCTTCATTTTAAGTCAAATGATATGACCCTGTAAAAGCCTAAGGCTTACGGGAAACATTAGAGAAGTGACCACTTCAAACTATAAAGCACTGAGGTGACAAGTGAAATTACACTCACTGTAGCTCAGGGAGAACTAATGTTTCAAGAAATTTTAGTTCAGTTTTGTTTTGAATTAAAATTTATACTGTTTCCTGTTAGAGGGGAAAATTTGAAGATTTCAGAACAGCACCGTTCACGGGGAAAAAAAAAAAAAGCATTGTTTCTCAGGAATCAACTCCCAATCAATTCCTGAAAGGGTACTCACTCCCCTGCCCTGTGCTGTAGGAGTTAGGTCATCCTAGATCAAAGCGGCCTTGTTCCTTTAAGTTGCTACAGGGTCATAAAGGCAGTAAGTATATTAATAATTACCTAAAATAAAATGAGAAAGATAGGAAGAATAACAGGGATGAATATAAAAGGGAATGCCGGTCTTAGACTGAGTTAAGAGGAAAACAGACTCAAATTACTGTCAGTTTAAACTACTGTAGAATATATCAGAACATAATTTGCCATATGTTATCCCCTTCATTTTTTATAGAGCATGATAATTACTTTTCTATGCACAGTTATGGTTAAACCCCTTAGTAGAAACACAGAGAATTAACAACTCTCTGAAAAATAAAATCAATAGCATTCCAGCTGTCCCCAGTTTTAAAACTGTATTGTCTGCCTTTGTGTTAAATAGTTCTCTCATCTGTGTAGAGTTCTTAATATAGCTTACTTGTCAGAATGTTACCTCTTCAGTTTCTCCATAAAAACTGAAAAAAGATTCCTTCACTTTGGCCAATAGCTGTGCTTTTTATGTTGAAAAATCACAGCCTTAGATATTATTTGAATTTTACTTTTTCAAAACCCATTAGTTGACTAAAACAATACAGGAAAGAAAATAAAGAACAAAAGTAAACATGACGATATGAATTATCTTCTAATAGCAATAATGACTGACGGTCCAGCCTTTAATTTAAACTGTACTTTTACAGAAACAGTGCCTAGGAAAATAGCAACAATGAATTGTCAGCTGGGAACTCAAATAGATTCTCAGTCACCACTGTTATTAGAAATATAAAATATGAAGATGTTAACATTGATGGCTAATCACTGCAATAGGCAGCAGAAGTGTGCTCTTTTGCAGTCAGAGTAAAATCTAGTCATTTACTCAAACAGTTTTTCATATTTTGTTTTGTTTTTACAGTAACAGTTCAATAATCGTCATGGAACCACAAAATCTCAGGACATCTTGGAATCAGGTTTTCTTCATGAAATTTCTAAAAAAGAAAAAAAATAACACAACTCACTAAGGAGTGAAAGCATTTATAAAGTTTCTGTCACCCTGAATGATCCCAAAGTATATTACAATTCTATAAATGATACCTTATCATATTTACTTTTCCAAAGACTTTTATAAGCATTTGTTTCTTAAGAAAAAAATGAGACATAATCATACCTAATACACAGTACAAAGGAAACGTATTTTGCACATTCATCAGATGTTCTGTCATTCCAAAGCAGAGTCTTAAAGCCAGAAGAATGCCCAATCATTAACAAAACAACCATAAGCTATTATTCAGAGTAATTCGTAAAAAAGTATTATCTTTAGATAAAGCCATATTTTAAGGCATTGGACTAAATAGTGCTATTAACCCACTGCCGTCAAGTCAATTCTGACTCATAGCAACTCTGTAAGATGCAGCAGAACTGCCCATAGGGTTTCCAAGGCTGTAATCTTTACAGAAACAGACTGCTACATCTTTCTCCCTTGGAGCAGCTAGTGGGTTCGAACTGCCAACCTTTCAGTTGGTGGCTGAGTGGTTAACCACTGTGACACCACGGCTCCTAAGTAGTGCTAACTTAACCCAAATATGTTAATAAAACTTTCTGATGCCTTTCAATAAAAAAGAAGGCAAAATGCAATACTTACACATCCAGTTAAAAGGAGCCAGTCAAGTTGTTCCCTTGGTTTTGCAATGAAACAAGCAAATCAATCTTTTCGATGTTCTGGTTGGTGTTTATAGAAGATGTCAGTGGAGAATTCTCTGCAATTTGCTGAGATAGAAGTGTTGTCACAGGTGGCTGGCCCTCATTTTGTGGCTGGCCTGGCTGGCTTATAGCCATCAACTGATCTGGCAACGCAGCTGGTCCAGAGGTTAAAAGCTGACTACAGTCTGCAAAGACATTTAAAATAGAGAAGCAGCTGATTACTTTCTGCTAAGATTCATGAAAAAACATTTATTAGTTGCTGAGGGAAATTCATTACTGTGTTCATCACGTATGTGAATAAAAGCAAGGCACCTGAAAGCCCAAGAAAAAGATTTTCACAGAATGGTGCAGGAATTCATTGAAAGCTTCCTCTTTCCTCTAAGCAGTATAAAAAGACAACTTTGCTTAGTTATCATCATCAGTCCTATATACTTTCTTCGGCATATAAACATTACACACGTGTTTCTATCTATAGAAACTGCTTACTTTAATTGGCTGAGATAGTTTCTTACTTCATTTCTCTTTCAAGTTTATAGCTTAAAATGGCAAACACATATATTTACATATATGACCACATTTGTTGTTATTGTTGTGTGCCATCAAGTTGATTCCGACTCACAGCGACTCTATATGACAGAGTAGAACTGCCCCATAAGCACTCGGCTGCTAACCAAAACGTCAGTGGTTCAAAAACACCAGCTACTCTGTATGAGAAAGATGTGGCAATCTGCTTCCATAAAGATTAAAAAAAAACAAAAACAAAAACAAAACCCACTACCATTAAGTTGATTCCAACTCACAGGGACCCTATAGGACAGAGCAGAATTGCCTCTTAGGGTTTCTAAGGCTATAAATTTTTATGGAAGCAGACTACCACATCTTTCTCTTGTGGAGTGCTTGCTGGGTTTGAACCACTGACCTTCTGGTTTGCAACCGAGTGCTTAACCGCTGCACCACGAGGGTTCCTTCCCATAAAGATTACAGCACTGGAAACCCTGTGAGGCGGTTCTACTCTGTCCTATGGGATAGCTATGAGTCGGAATCGACTCAGTGGCAATAGGTAATCATTATGGAGCAAATTACCAGGTCTTTTCTCCTGCAGAGCCCACTGTTGGGTTCAAACTGCTGACCTTTCATTTAGCAGCCTAGTGCTTAACTACTGTGCTACCAGAGCTCCACATTAAATCTTCCCAATAGCCTTGGTCAAGTATGTACTATTATCAACACTTTAGATATGGAAATTGAGGCTCCTAAAAATCAAAAACTTGTCCAAGATCTCTCACAGTCTCTAAGTGGTAGACCTGAGATTTGAACTCAGTTCTAACTCCAATCTGTGCTTAAAACCACTGTTTTCTGCTTTCAGGGGACATCTAGGTCAGTCGGCATAACATATTAAGAAAATGTTCTGCATTCCACTTTGGTGAGTGGCGTCTGGGGTCTTAAAAGCTAGCAAGTGGCCATCTAAGATGCATCAATTGTTCCCAACCCACCTGGAGTAAAGGAGAATGAAGAACACCAAAGAAATCAGGAAAGCATTAGCCCAAGAGACAGAAAGGGCCACATAAACCAGAGACTGCAACATCCTGAGACCAGAAGAACTACATAGTGCCCGGCTACCAGCAATGACCACCCTCACAGGGAACACAACCGAGTCCCTGTTGGAGTAGGAGAGAAGCGGGGTACAGAACTCAAATTCTAGTAAAAAGACCAGACTTAATGGTCTGAGACTAGAAGAACCCCAGAAAGCAAGGCCCCTGGACTCTCCCATCAACCCAGCACTAAAACCATTCCTGAGGCCAACTCTTCCGTCAAAGATTAGACTGGACTATGGGACATAAAATGATACTCATGAAGAGTGTGCTTCTTAGCTCAAGTAGATACATGAGATTAAATGGGCAACTCATGTCCGGAAGTGAGATGAGAAGGTAGAGAGGGTCAGGAGCTGGTTGAATGGACACGGGAAATCGGGTGGAAAGGAGTGTGCTGTCACAATATAGGGAGAGCAATTAGGGTCACATAACAATGTATGTATAAATTTTTGTATGAGAGACTAACTTGAATTGTAAACTTTCACTTAAACTACAACAATAAAATTTAAAAAAAAAAAAAAAAAAAAGAGCGGCAAGTTTTTGGTTAAAAAAAAACCCACTATGTTTTGCTTCCTTTTAGTAACAATCATCTGACAATTTCAACCAAGTAATGGTTAAGTAATGAAAAGTTAGGAAAAGTTTCTTACTATTTTGAATGCCAAATAAGAACATTCCTGATGTCTGCTGAGATGAGCCAGGAGAATTTTGTAGTTGATTCATTGTGCCTCCTGCAGTGTTGCGAAATAAGGTAGCCTGTGGTTGAGGTGAAGATGTGGCTCCTTGGATTCCAGGCATGCTGTTCTGAGGGGAATAAAGAGGAGACTGTTGCATGTCTTGTTGGTTTATACTGGTCTGCAAGGCAGACATGGATGCTGGAGAGAGGAAGAGTGTTACTTGCTGCTCTTGAGAACCAGGTGACCCTTGGACCAACTGAATCTGAGGAGAGGTATGGAACAAGGAGGTTTGTGGTGATTCAGACTGGGTAGAACCCGGGTTTTGAAGTGAGGAAACTGTGGGCTGATTCTGAAATTGCATGGGCTGCTGCTCTTGATTCATTGATGCCATATTATTTTGTTGGTGAAAAATTGACTGGTTCTGTTGCTCCTGATTAGCCATTGGATTTTGATTTGGGTTGAATATCATGTTAGGTGGTGGTTGCTTTTGAGATGCCATTGTAGCCATGGTATTCTGATTACTGAATAAAATGGTCTGCTGCTGTTGCTGCTGCTGTTGCTGCTGCTGTTGCTGTTGCTGCTGCTCCTGGGATGGAGAGTTACTCTGGATGGCAACCATTGAGTGCTGTGACTGAAAGATTGTTCCTTGTTGGTTCTGAGGCATTGGATTAGGTGGAAGGGAGCCCAGGGACACCTGAGGCTGAAATAAACCTTGCTGAGATGGTTGTGCCTGTTCTTGGGACAGCATAGGGGATGGGATGTGTGATATTGAAGCCTGCTGTGGGAAAGCAGCTTGTTGCTCAGTGTTTGATGTTGACTGAAGTGGAGAAATTGAGTTCTGTGCTGCAAAAAATGAAATCTGTTCTTCTTGAGCTACTGTGTTAGTCTGGAGATTATTCATAGAACTCTGGGAAAGAAATATGTTGGTTGGTTGCTGGTCTTGAGAAGATCCCTGTAGCACAGTGATGGTACTCTGAGAGTGAAACATTGGAGGCTGCATTTGTTCAGAGGAGGTTGTAGAAGTCTGACTGCGGACAATAGGACTTGGACTATGAAAAATAGAACCTTGAGTTTCCTGGGAAAGGTTCTGAGCATCAGCAATAGGATTTTGAGGATGAAAAAGTTGAGCCTGTGAATGAGAAGACTGCTGCAAAAAACTCCCAGATTGAAGTGACATCATCTCATTACCTTGCTGGAATAAACCACTGCCTTGTTGCTGGGTACCACTATTCTGAACACTCATCATACCTTTTGAAGATGAAAAAAGGTTAACTTGAGGCTGACTGTCCCCACTATGTTGCATCTGGACCATGGTCTGAAAGACACTATTCTGAATCTGTTTTGCTTGTGCTTCAGTTTCTTCTCCATTGCCTGAACTTGATGTCTGAAACATGGTAGTGCCAGGAGTTGCAACCTGCTGAGTGGTGGTTGCAGAAGTTTCATTTCCAGAAACTGTAGGAGGAGAAGAAAACAATTCACATTGCATTTGCATGTCCTCATTGGTAGATAATGCACTCATCATGTGAGAAGTCTGCTGGTAAACTGGAGATTGTTGAAGGTTTCCATTTGCTGAAGCAGTTGAAGGAAATAACTCTGACTGAATTTGGGCAGCTGCCTGGCAGATACTCTGCTGCATCTCCATCACCATTGCAGCTGATGATTCCATCACTTGCTGTTGCTGTTGCTGCTGCTGCTGATTAGACAGTGTGTTTTCAGTCTGTGGATGAACATTTTCAGCTCTTCCAGGTATTAAATTATCTGGTCTGGTATGGACTGCTGGCTCTGTTGAGGAAAACATTCCTGGGCTTACGCTACTTTGAATTTGACTGACTTGTTGAAAAATGTCTGCACTAAGCTGTTCTTGAACATTCTCATTACCATCTGGAGCAGAAAATAAAACTGAAGATAACTGTTGTTGTGCCTCTAAAACTTGTTGGACCAAGTCAACATTTCCACTGCTGCCACTAGTAGTACTGCCTGCAAAACTTCCTGCTTGCAACTGCTGAATAGTATTCTGCAGCTGACTCACACTATTTGGTGATGGAAAAATATTTGATGAAATCTGCTGCTGTAAAGTCTGTGCTTGTTCTTGTAGTGGTGACTGCTGTTGTTGCTGTGATGCCTCAGTCAGTTGTGACAAATTAACCACTGTACCATCTGACTGTAATACCTCTCTAGATTGAGTTTCTCTTGTCTGAAACTGTGTAGCCTGCTGTAGTAGTGGGTCACTATTAGGCAGCTGACTAGAAGCAGAAACTGCTGGGAAGGTACCAGGCTGTGAAATGTCCTGTGTTTGGATAGTTGTTAGGGTCTCTGGGTTGTATGCCTTGGGCTGAATCTGTTGCTGCTTTTCATTTTCAGAAGATAAGTGGGAAGATGATGATGAAAAAGACCCATTTCCTGCTACGGTAGGGATATTTTCCAATGTTTGCTGAGTTGATCCAACTGTCTTTGTAGTCTAAAAAGAAAAAAAAAAATCCCCAAATAATATGTATATATAAATAAGCTCATACAGATACTTCAAAAGTCATTATTGTTCTAAAATCACATACAGGGACAATTTTTCACTCGATATTATTTGGAAAATAGGTGCAAGACCATGATTCTCAGTGATAATAAGATGTCTGTCATCAGGTCATCAGGATATTTTTAAAAAATAGTGTAAGCAAAGATAGTCAAGTAAGTAGAATAATCAGCTATTGATATGCTTAGGGAAGTTAAAGGTAATAAAAATATATTACTTATATAGTTCATGAATTAAAAAAAAATTTCAAAATATCTCCATTTTGTGGATCATTGATAACATCATGGAGGAGGCACATGAAAAAGGGAGGGGAGTTTACACGAAAAGACTAGGGAAAAGAAGTAATAAAACTATCTCCAATTCTGAAAATGCTAAACCAGTATTTTTATTAATATCCCACATCCCACAGGTCTAGCTAACATATTAATTTCTCCCTTCAAAAATGTATATTAGAAGTCACTTTCTGGGCAATTCTGTTGAAGTATAAAGCATTCACTCGGAAAAGCAAAATCCATTAAGTACATTCAAAGCAAAACAAATGTGAAAAAATTAGGAAAAGTTAAAAGTATAAACCCAGGGAAAAGAAATCAAACCACTCAAGATAGAGCAATTTTTATATCTGAGGGTAAGATTTGGGGCACTAGTCAATGTGACTTACCTTAAAAATAGGGGAAGATCTTTTTTCTGCTGTTACTTCCATTGGAGTAACATCTTCACTCTTAATCATGCTGCTTGATATGAGTGGAGGGATCAGAGCGTTAGGAAGAATGTTTACCTTATCCAAGTTACATCCTGTAGTTTTCATTGCTGCACACAAAAACAGGAAGATAAGTTTAAAATTACAAAAATAACCAACTATTGCATTCTATAGTGTGTTGACCATTAGTCACGATTTAAATGTCAATTTTCTGATGCTATGATGGTAGCATGAGATACACAATTGGTGTATAAAAATATGCCCTCCCTTTCTTGAAGAAGCAGTGCCAGTGCCTTGAGGACTCCTGGTATGGGCCTGAGAGTGCAGGTTAAATATTAGTAAGTTTAAGCGGTTCAATTATCAAATACACCCCTCGGGACCCTCCCAAGGTTCCTTAAATTATACTGGTCACCATGACCAGGATATATTATAGGATATAGTTTAGAAATCTTCAGGAGGTTAAAGCTACTTAGTTACAACTGTTACACTCTCCTCTTACCATATGGCTGCCTGGAAAATATGAAGTCTCAAAACCTTTTAAGAGGCATGGGATTGTCTGAGTATTTGTCCTCAATAAAACTCAAGCCTCAATTAGAAAATGCACCAAGTATTCAAATAAAGGACCAATTTAGGCTTACCAATTAAATTTCTAAAGCAAAATGGGCAAGTACTTCCCAAACCCTTCCACTAGAGTAGTTATAGATTTTCATCAAGGAGAGGCAACATATAGTGTATGTCTTAGTCATCTAGTGCTGCTGTAACAGAAACACCACAAGTTGATGGCTTTAACAAAGAGAAGTTTATTCTCTCACAGTCCAGTAGGCTACAAATTCAGGGCATCAGCTCCAGGGGAATGCTTTCTCCGTTGGCACTGGAGTAAAGTCTGTGTCGTCAATCTTTCCTTGGTCTGGGAGCTTCTCTGCACAGGAACCTCAGGTCCAAAGGATGCGCTCTGCTCCCGGCACTGCCTTCTTGGTGGTATGAGGTTCCCATGTGTCTCTGCTTTTCTCTTTTATATCTCAGAAGAGATTGGCTTAAGACACTATCCAATCTTGTAGACCTCATCAGTATGACCTCATCATAGTGATAGAGTTTACAACACATAAGGAAATCACATCAGATTACAAAATGGTACACAATCATACAGTACTGGGAATCATAACCTACACATTTTTGGGGGGACATGATTCAATCCATGACAGTATATAAGGCAGATTCTACTACTGTACTACATATACTCCCCTCCCTCTTCACTCTCTCCTCACAGATTCCTTTTCTGTCTCCTTGAGTCTACCACTGGCACTTAGTGGAGCCTACTGATATCGCTAATGACAGTCTTCTGAATTGAAAACATAGCCAAATACTGATCTAAAAGTTTATCACTACTTCGAGATCCTGTGGAGAGAAATACAATCTGATACCAAAGGAAATCCTGGCTATAAAGAAGATCTTTAAATGGCACATATGAGTAGGAGAGCTACCTTTGTAAATATTTTGATCTAAAAATATTTGAAACTTGCCTCACAGCCATTTGTAGAAACTTAATTCTTTTTTTTTTTTAATAATTGTACTTCAGATTAAGGTTTATAGAACAAATAGATTCTCATTAAACAGTACACATACTGTTTTACGACAATGGTTAACAACCCCACGACATGTGGACACCGTCCCTTCTCAACCTTGGGTTCCCTATTACCATCTTTCCTGTCCCCTCCTGCCTTCTAGTCCTTGTCCCTGGACTGTTGTGCCCCATTAGTGTTGTTTTGTTTTATGGGGCTGTCTAATCTTTGACTGAATGGTGAGCCTCGGGAGTGACTTCATCACCGAGCTAAAAGGGTGTCCGGCGGCCATACTCTCGAGGTTTCTCCAGCCTCTGCCAGACCAGTAAGTCTGGGAAACAATTCCTGAGGAAATTGATTATACTAAGGGAGGGAAAGTACTCATTCAGCTTTTGATAGTTTGTGTTTGTTACTCTATCTGAATAATCTGAGAAAGAAAGAATTCACTCATGAGTTGTCTGGACCTATTTTCACATAAGTTCCATCAACATTAGTACCATTCAACTCACAATCCAATTTTGGCTGAGACAAAACTTTAGATCACGCATAGGGCAGACATTTAAAAGGTTCATATCGAGGACACTTTGAAAGACAATTAATGTCGGTTATTTTACATCAAATACAGTTGATTCAATGCTCAACTGCTATTCTTGCTTTTGAATTCTATTAGAATGTGAGCTCCATGAATGCAAAAATTTTGCTGTTGCTATTATTTACTTTGGAGCCCTGGTGGCGCAGTGGTTAAGAGCTCGGCTGCTAACCAAAAGGGCGGCAGTTGGAATCCACCAGCTCCTCCTTGGAAACCCTATGGTTTTGGCTTATTATTTACTTCATGTTGTATATTTTTTGTAGGTGACCAACAAGTATTTGTTGACTGGAGAAATGAATGAATTAATCTTACTTTAGCTTTATCATAGTCAATTTAGTTTGTTCTGGATTGTCTGGTTAATTCTATAGTACAATGCTGCATAATTTCACTAATAGTATTTCTGACGTAAAATTTTTTGTTATCTAAAGATATGTTTACATTATAGTTCAATTAAAAACTGCGGATAAATATCCATTGACTAAATAAATGCATCATTTACATAGTTACTGCTTCATATATCTATACACAATTTCCCCCAAAATGTATTTAGAGAGTAATGTTTATTATCATAGCTTTTTTTCCCATTCTGAAAAGAGAGAAGAGTAGAATAAGTTGAGCACGAGTCTTTTACCCATCCTAAGTAGAACACTGACAAGTAAGTATATGTCTATCGGAGTAGAGAAATAGGAAAAGGTCATTTTGGCTAAGGCACACTCAAAGATATGAGTCTTTACTAGTGACCCTACAGGACAGGGCAGAACTGCCCCCATAGGGTTTCAAGGAGTGGCTGGTGGGTTAGAAATGCCAACCTTTTGGTTAGCAGCCAAGCTCTTAACCACTACACCAACAGGGCTCCAGCCTAGGACACCCTATGGAGCAGTTCTCATTTGTCCTACGGGGTCACTATGAGTCAGAATAGACTCAACAGCACACAACAACAACAAAACAAAGATATGAGTCTTTCTATGGCCATATGCACGTGAGTTCATTTTCCTTATATTCCAATCTCAAATCTAGTCCCACTACCAACAATCCAAAATGTCACTGGGTCAGACAATAAGCTTGTCAAATGTGCTCCATTTTCTTAATTTTAATAATAATCCTCTAGCAGATTTCAATTTAGCAGTATTTTGTAAATGAAAATATCATGTTAACATTTTCTTTCTCCAATTGCCTAGGTCTTTATTAACCCTAACAACATCAAGCAGTTGTCATTGCACTACAATCCAAAACTTACATTTTGTTCTCAAATCACCTTGTCATGGATTGAATTGTGTCCCCGCAAAATACCTGTAAACTTGGCTAGGTCATGATTCCCAGTATTGTATGATAGTCTACCATTTTGTCATCTGATGTGATTTCCCTATGTACTGCAAATCCTATCACTATGATGTAGTAAGATGGATTAGTGCAGTTATATTGATGAGATCTCCAAGATTAGATAGTGTCTTAAGCCAATCTCTTTCGAGATATAAAAGAGAGAAATCAACAGAGAGACAGGGGGACCTGATACTACCAAGAAAGCAGTGCTGGGAGCAGAGCGTGTCCTTTGGACCCAGGGTTCCTGTGCAGAGACGCTCCTAGTCTAGGGGAAGACTGATGACAAGGACCTTTTTCCAGAGCTGACAGACAGAAAGCCTCCCCCTGGAGCTAACGCCCTGAATTTGGACTTATAGCCTACTAGACTGAGAGAAAATAAACTTCTCTTTGTTAAAACCATCCACTTGTGGTTATTTCTGATATAGCAGCACTAGATGACTAAGATACATCTCTATTTATCAGACTACTTCTTTTATGTGATTTAATTTTTTTGGAAAATTAAATACAACAAACCCCCCAAAGGCAACCCTAAAATATTTCTCACTTAACTACATTCTTTATGTCTAAATAGCAACTCTGTATAGCTATAAGAATACCTAAAATGAAAAAAAGAAAACTGTACCACATGCAAGATTACTAGAAAATTTAATTATAAATCTAATCCAGAACTTTAAATACTGGTAAAATGAGAATATTATAATACACAAAAAAGAATTCTTTCTATGGCCTAATCGGCATGTACAATTTGAAAAGTATGATGCTTTCCTGTAAAAACTTAGATAATTATGACATGCATCCTTACGTATGGCCAAAATGTTTCTGGCTACTTTAGATGGCTTCTCCCCCAAGCAATAAATTTAAAATAACACCTGGAACATGATCATTCTTTTTTGAATTTTTTTTTATTGTACTTTAGATGAAGGTTTACAAAACAAATAGTTTCTCATTAAACAGTCAGTACACATATTGTTTTATGACACTGGTTAACAACCCCACGACATGTCAACACTCTCCCTTCTCGAACTTGGAGGACCTTTTTTTTGGTGAAAATAAACACAGCCAAAGTTACACCATTTCAAAAGTTTCTACATGTACAATTCAGTGACATCGATTACATTCTTTCAGTTGTAGTGTTATTCTCACTATCCTTTTCCAAATTATTCTATCACCATTATCTTCAACTCACTGCCCCCTACGCATCCCATCAAACCTTTTGAGTTGCTGTTGTCAATTGGATATCACATACGTAATTTTTTTTTTGTACCTTAGATGAAGGTTTGCAGAACAAATAGTTTCTCATTAAACAGTTAGTACACATATTGCCCTATGACAATGGTTAACAACTCCACAACATGTCAACACTGTTCCTTCTCAATGTTGGGTTCCCTATCACCAGCTTTCCTGTCCCCTTCTGTCTTCTAGTCCTTGTCCCTGTACTGCTGTGCCTCATTAATCTTTTTTTTTTTTAATTGTACTTCAGGTGAAGGTTTACAGAACAAATAGTTTCTCATGAAACAGTAGTACACATATTGTTCTATGACACTGGTTAACAACCCCACAACATGTCAACCCTCTCCCTTCTCGACCTTTTTTTTTGGTGAAAATATACAAAGCCAAAGATATACCATTTCAAAAATTTCTA